TTACAGAGGAGTTTCTCTGACTGAAATAAGTAGTATTTTAATTTTTGGCTTATATGTTCTTCTATTGGAGATAAAGTAAACATCAATGTCAAAAGTTTCATCATTGGTCTAGACCACCTTAATAACACCTTAAAATCCACATTCTGGTTTTTGATTTGCTACAAGCAGCTCAAGCAGTAGAAGTAGCGGTAAGGAACATGAAATTCATTTTAGATGTATTTTTCAAAAGCCTCAAAATATGAAAACACAACTATACAATCATTGTTGATAATAAGATCACATTACAATCTTATTGCCAAAATCTACCAAAATCATGTCCAAAATCATGACTAAGAGAAGCACATTGAATTTGGCATAGGTCTGTCTGAGGTATCTGATAAGATACAATAATCAACCTTGTGCTTATATTATCTAAGCTATACCGCAATAAGCAATACTCGGTTAAATTTTTCAAATACCAATCTGAGAAGATATTTTGACTTTTCAGAATAACTTAGTGATACATACATGTTTGAAAAGATCATTTATGAGTTTTCATAAAACAATCAAAAGGAATCTCATCTCTCAGTCTCTCAATATTTTGATCGTCTGAAATGTAGGTGGAATTTCAGTTATTAATATCTCAAACTTTGAATTAAATATAATAGTGCTATTAACTTGTACTTACATATAGAGGTTGTTTGACAGCTTTCGTACCACCAGGATAGAGTGGAACACCACCAAAGAATCTATGGTCTAAGAAAGATAACAATATAGATAAGTTAAAGTGGCACACAAAGATATTACATGCCAAGTCAATTTACAAAGTACAATCCAAGATGCAGCAGTTCTATGTATGGACCAGCAGAGCACATAGTAGCAGTTTGATATACAGACCACCCTGATTTGTATCGATCCATCATCACATGAATGTAGTTTGAAGAATTTAAATAAATTAAGATCAAATAATAATAATGCAGGTGTTACTCACTAGCATAATCATTAAAATATCTGTCTTCTCTGCCATATATCTGAGCAGGTCTTAATATAGTCACATTGGGATACTCATTCTTAACGATTGTCTCACCGGCCGCCTATTAACAAACAATTCATCATTGAGTATTTATTATGCATACAGTATTTGCTGTTACTATTACAGAGTAGAGCAAGAACTTGAATAATTAACAGAGATGTGATTTTTGCGATCCAGTATACATTAAGGTATATGTATGTTAGCTTCTATTATAGGAAATACAGTATTCAATACTTTATTTTCAAAACTACATGTGTGTGTTTATATGTTTAAGAAAAAATAATCCCTTGAGACATGCACACAAATGCTAGAAAAAAATATACTGTATTTGTTTTATTGGAAACACATCTGGAATATAAGCTTACTTAAAGAGCAAATTGCATTTACTGTATGGTAAATAATTGAAACATCTCATTTTGACTATAGATTCCCTTGACAAATGTTGCTTCTAATGGAGCATAATAGAGAAAATACAGCATACAATTATTCACACCTCACCTACTCATCTGTATTTTCAGTGGATATTATAAATTGTAAAATGGTCAAAACCAGACTAACATTTGTATATATCAAATTGCAAAATTAAAATTGAAAGAACAAATGAGAAACAAAAATCAAGTGAAAACAAATATTTTTTTGAATACACATTTTTGCGCATGCACCTCATCATAAATGCAGGAAATGAATTGTACAAAAACTATCTAATCATGCAATTAACTGAAAGTCTTTTCTACAGTGATAACTCAGTCGTAATCTGTTTCATGAAACCCATAAAGACCCCAATGTATGATCACAGAGTACAACTTCATAGCCATGTTGGTTGATCTGTTTTGAAAGAATAAATTTAAAACAAAATAACGGCCCTTTTATGTGTAAATGTGTCACGATACTTTGGCATTTCCTGGAAAGAAGAATAAGTGGCAATAGTTACAAGTGTGTGGGCGTTTCAAATGAACTGCTTCCTTACTTTTGTCCTTAAAAATTTAGATGGTGATTTCCAGTCGCTGCCCAGAGCTGATAGATGAATAAGTCTTGGGATCTTCAACTCACTGGCAATACTGGCAACTCTACCAGCGATATCAATATGTATGTCTTCAAATCTGTAATTTCTGTCAAGAGATAACAAAACAAAAAAAAGACATGGATCTAAGTGAGAATTTTCACAATGCTAAATTAATGTACTATCTTACAAGTATTTGTTCTATTACCAGTAGTAGGTCATAGGCTTACGTACATTACAGAGGTGTTTCTATGGGTAAAATAAGTTGTTGGTTTATACATGCTTCTAATGGAGCAAATGCAATATTCTCTGAATCAACAAAAGTAAGGTTGATCCAATTAATTATTGAATCACAAGGATATTATTATTGCTAGAAGTCAACAAAACAGGTTCTTAATTACTAAATGTTCTATGATAATTAAAAACAAAATCAAATTATTATAAACTTACCTGGTCTCATAGTCTTTTCCCATTAGGTTAATGACAACATTTGAATGCTGCATCATTTCGCGAAGAGAGTCATCGCTATTTACATCAAATGTCTAAAAAAAAATGTAAAGCAAACACAAATTAAACGAAGTAATATAAAGGCCGAAAACCAAGCATTATTTAAGACCTTGACAGTGCCTAAAATAAACACATGTGGTTTCAGCTACGTGGCTGTTAGTGTTAACATATCAATATCCACAGAATTCTACACCAACATTGCTCTTACATTTGACAAAATTACCTGCACTGTTTGACACATGTTATCTTTAAGAAATAACAGTAAGTCGGCAAAAGTGAAGTAACAGTCTACACTACTGTATTTCAACAAACATGACAAAAATCAGTGACAGCATGGAGGTTGTTTGTGTTGTTTTGACTTTTTTTCCCCATTCATTTTGGCTATCTGTGGAGGCAGGTGATGTGTTAATAGTTTGGACACTGCAAAATGTTTTAGAACAAACCCATATAGATTAAATATGATCTTTAGTGTGACATGCCAGGATCCAGGGATTACATTTAATAAGAAAAACATTCACTTTGAAGCACTTTGAACGTTAGGTAACAAAGCTATGAGGTGACTTGCTGGCATAACAAAAATGATGGAAATGTTGGAAAACGTTTTGTAGCATTTTGTGATACTGAACGCACCCCAGGTAATGGAGAGTGAGTTTTGCGGCATTCATCATATAAAAAAAGACTTACAAGAGGAATAATCTGTCCTAGATCACCCATGACTTTCAGATGTCGTATATCATCAGGGTCACATCTGTATGGTACAATAATCTGTGAACCTTCACGGCCTAAAGTGAAGAGACAAAGAGTACACCATGCTTATGGAAAAATAGATAGCTTATTTAGTGGCATGGTATCACAGACCAGTTTATTCTGGCTGCTAAGATGTCCACCAGTTTGAATATTTTATATGGTAACATCGTGTTGTGCATACCATGAACACACATTTTACGACCTGTGAAGCACATTCACTCACCTAGCCTGTTGATAACGTATCGGCCTACAAATCCCGTAGAACCACCAAAGACAGTGGCAATAACACCACTGAACGACGATCTACCACCACGTCCTCTTGGAACCATAGCATCATGATATGTTCCTGCTTGACCCGGTGAAGCTTGGCTATGGCCATCTCTCTTACAGACAACAGCAAAACTCAATACCGGTGTAACTTGACTCCCTGGGCATCACAGAAATATAAGAACGTGAAAAACAGTCCCTCTATCATGATAGGATATATGTAGTTAGGTCTATACTATATTACTACTGTATTGGTTATTTGGGAACTACTTTTTTTGTAAAGATCACATCAGCATTACAATATTGTCTTCTTTCACCGTATATATTAATTTTCCTGCGTAGTGATTTCTTTATGGAGGCATTGATTCAGACGAGAAGGCAAAGAGACGAACATAGTCGCAAAATCAAGAAGTCAACTAGTTCAAGAAATCAGCTGGTAAAACGAGCCGTCGGCACGTAAATTAGCGAGCACAATTCAAAATTACTCGTCATGCTAGCTATTATTATTTTAAGAAATATGAGAACGTGCGTGACCAGTTAATGCTAGAACGCTGTGTTATATGTTGCATGAATAATCTATTTTACAAGAACTTACGAGCAGAGTTCGCAACTCGATTTGCCAACAACGCCGCCATCTTGAAGGACACTTGCGCAGAAAATGAAAATATGACAGTACAATGCGCACATAAAGCCCTTTATCGTTTTAAAAATAAATCCTGAAAAAGAAATGACAATGTGTGATATTAGTATTAAATTTCAATAATCTTTTACACGCAAATTATTTCATCGTTTGTTATCTATTTGTATCAAACAAAATATAACGAGGGTTTGTTGTAAAAACAAGTTGTGCTTATACAACTATAGCTTGTAGATTATTTTCATAACTTAGGGAGCCTGAACGTACCCCGTACGATTCGCTTCCATTCCGAGATCCGGAAAAGGTTGGCGTTGGTTTTGTGTGAAACTTTTCGTTTGCCTGTTTTCTTCAATACCATCTACACTTGTGTGAATATAGAACTATAGGAGAGAGGTCGGGTACAGTTATCATATATATTCGGTCTGTGAAATATAAAAGATAAAGGTAAGTTGCCTATTTTACTAATCTTCAACATTGTCCTGCGAAATTACAAAAAATAAATAAATAAAAAATACCGGTACATCCGGAAGGGAATTTATGAATCAACGAATCACAAATTGCTGTTCAACGTAAAGTGTGTTTCATTAATACTACAACAATGAGGGATGTGCTGTTCGCCGCCATTTTGTATATTTTTCATAATAAACAACTGGGCGAGTATTTTGCACCATTTTCCTTTTATTACTGTATATTGGTATTACTATTATTGTAATCCGTATTTCGTCTAGGATTTCAAACGTCTGAATATATTCTATCGTGTGGAATGATTTGGCTTTTAATTTTGTCTCAGTCACTTGGGGCTACAATTTCCAATAATTTGATAATAAATTACACTGAATTATTAGGATTTTTCAGTCTTCCTGTCACTGTGTACTTGATATGTCTGTTTTTGTGAGGTGGCCAAAATGACCGAATCGTATATTGTCTTTTACAGAACCATGTCTTACATGTTACCACATTTACACAATGGATGGCAGGTGGACCAAGCCATTTTATCTGAGGAGGATAGAGTAATCGTGATTCGTTTCGGGCACGATTGGGACCCTACATGCATGAAAATGGATGAAGTTCTCTATTCCATCGCAGACAAAGTGAAGAACTTTGCAGTCATGTTTTTAGTTGACATTACAGAGGTTCCTGATTTTAACAAGATGTATGAACTGTATGATCCCTGTACTGTCATGTTTTTCTTCAGGAACAAACATATAATGATTGATCTGGGCACTGGTAATAACAATAAAATAAACTGGACTTTAGAAGATAAACAAGAAATGGTGGACATTGTTGAAACTGTTTACAGAGGTGCCAGGAAAGGACGAGGTTTGGTAGTTTCACCGAAAGACTATTCAACAAAATACAGATACTAAACTTCAGTTATATACCACTGTTACATAGTCAGCAGTTGGGACCTTTTCACTGCTGTTAACAACTGTTGTTTTCTTTCTCCACAAGTAATACTGTAGTAGCGGGTTGCTTTTATCAATGAATGTATTTAGATCAAAGACTTTTCGTATTTAAAACCTGTAAATTAAGTCTGTATGTTGAAAACGTATACCGTACAAAACTTACACATGATTGGTAATAACTGCGCTATTGCTATAAGCATGAATAATGTAGAGTGTAAATCAGAGGGTAAAAATCAAATTGAAGCTCACAATAATTGCAAGATGTAAGTATGGTATCCAGCTTACAACTTGACAGTGCTCTGGGGATCCAAATATTTAAGGAATGCTCTGTATGTTTGCAAAATTTGGGTAATTCTCGTAGCATCCAGATCCCAAACCCATTGCTTTATGTTAGGTTCTCCTCGTTAGTTTTCTACTTTAATTAATTTTTACTATTCATTCATAACAAAGCTGTATTGCTTCTCACCTGGTAGAAACTTATGTAGATGTGTGTTATATGTAGGTGTACTATAGGATAGTTTTTATTAATAAAATATGTGCATAATTACTAGTTAATTTGCATATTGATTTGTAGGTTTTATGAGATGCATCTCTTCGGTGTGAATGTCTAGCTAATTTGAATGACCAGTAGATTTATTTTGTATATTTACAAAGTTTTAAGTTGACATTACTCATTGGTTTGTTACTGGGAAGTTGCCCTTGACTGTCAGCATCATTGTCAGACCATATTCTATACTTTAAATAAGACTGGATGAAACTTGTCTTTGTTAACTCAGGCCGAGTTTGAAAAAGCAGGCAGTGCTGGGGATGGTGAAGCTGAAGTGGTGTTTGCTATTATCGGATGTTGTATAAACACAACTTTAGACTGCTCCGTTCCATTTTTGACTCCCGTGTGCGAAGCACAAAAAGGGAGTCTTTGCAGTTAGTGTGTCTACAAGTACTAATCATCACATTTCAATAAAACTTGGTACATAGATGTCATAGGACACTGCACAAACCTGATAGTTTTTAGGGTAATATCAGTAGATATTAATTACCTAATTAGCATAATTAATTAATTTTCAGCTTTTGATATTTCAAGTAGTAATTGTCACATTTCAGTGAAACTTGATATATAGATGTCATAGGACACTGCGCAGACCCGATAGTTTTTAGGGTAATATGAGTACATATTAATTACCTAATTTGCATAATTAATTAATTTTCAGCTTTTGATATATCAAGTAGTAATCATCATATTTCAATGAGACTTGCTACATAGATCTTCTAGGATGATGCAGAAACCCGATTAGTTTTAATTGGATATTAATTACCTAATTTGCATAATTTTCCACTAATATATAAAGAACCACAAATTGGATTTTAATGAAACTTTTAAAGAGAACTATGCAGAAACCCAATTTGTTTTTGGTAAATATT